ACCAGACAGCTGGGGCCCTGGTACCATCGGATCTGGGGGTCTTGGGTCTTGCAAACCTGAAGGGCTTTGGAGGCAAAGCCTCCTAAAGACAGGGCTTTGCCCTTCCCTGGAGCCTTTGGTGCCCTTCCCTGGCTCCGTTCCTTCGAAGACTGACGCCCCAAGAGTCTCACCCCACCCGAAACTCGATGGATGGAACCCATCGATCGGATCGGCGCCGACACGCAGGCGTGCCGACACTCGGTCTGAGAGAGTCGGACACTAGTTGCAGTATGTTGCAGTGGTTTCAGAATTTTCAGAGTAGATGGCACAATCCCCCAAAAGTTGGATTATATACTATATGGACCTTTGGGGCCCAGTGCCATTGGCCATTTGCCCTGAAACTGGGCCGGTGTCCTTGGATTGACCCTTGGTGTCGTTGGATTGACCCTTAGTGTTGGAAGTTGGGGGTTTGGGGTGGTTGTTAGAGGGCTTGTTGATGCCTTGTATATAGTTGGAGAGGTTTTACAAACGACATGTGGAACCATTGGAATGTCACAGGAGCACAGATATATCGAGTGTCCCATTGTCAGATTCCATGTTACAATGTTTTGGCACTGGGCGACTATTCTGCGCACCACTTGCACAAGAGTGTGGTGGACTTCGACACTATATAACCAATTATATATATATATACTGTATATGTTAATTTTATCGTTATATCAATATCCAGGTTTGAGATGCTTCTGGTGGTTTATGGATGTGGGTTACTCAGCGGCGAGCGGGTACTTCAACATGTCCCGCTTATCCCCATGTTGAGCCTCCTGTGGGAATTTCTGGAGCATGTTTGATCCCTTCAATCCAAATTAGTCACAGGCATGCATGGGGGCGGGGTGCCACAATGAGTTTGGCGTTATGAGAAGCGGACTGACAAAAGCTGCGTTGCAAAGGAGCTGCCTTAATGTACCCTCGATCTATATACATACCACTGGCATAAAGGGGCTAGGACAAAAAGATAACGATGATAACGCACGCACTCAGTAACTCAGTGGCTTGCACTGCACCTATGGCATCCTGTCCGCTAACACTGAGGGCTGGCCCCCTCCTGCTTAAAGCAGCGCAGCCTGCTGTGGGTCCCCATGGTGCTGTGTGGGCGTGCCCTGACAATAAGCAGGCGAGGGATGAGGGATGCTAGCAGTGGGGGGGACGATGGGAGGAGGTGCGAGAAGAACCATCACACCTGGCACCCTTCCATAGCCAGGTGCCTGTGAGTCTTCTGGGGTGGTTTGATTTGCTGACCGCCTGAACCGTTCAAACTACGCCTAGGTCCCCGAAGAAGGTGCCCCATGTGACAACCGCCCTGCCAGCCGAGTACCATGGGCCCTAATATACGCATGCTTTCTTTGGCAGTGGGCCAAAAGATCTCAAAAATTTTTGGCCTCCCAAACCCTTACCAAAACCCGTCAAACCCTACCCCAAATTCCTTTCGCCTCAGCCATGTGCAATACATCCCGCATCACCCACTTGTTTGTGCGGAATTGTTCAATTCTATGTTCCCCAAGCTCCTATGGCCAGGTCAGTGACAGTCAAAATTCTATTTACCCCAATCCAACCCAAAGCTCACGGAAAAACCTGCAAAGAGTTCTGAGGGGGATCAGACATAGACATTACCTCGAAGAGGTCCCCGACCTCGTGACACAGCGACATCACCGCGGTTCCTTGATGTCACACCCAGGGTGTAACATGGTGTAACTGGATGTTCCCGTTCTGATTTGAAGAGCCTTCATTGACCACTAGAGTTTCAAGAGCTTCATCTATGGCCATACTTCATCTATATCTCCGAATCGAGCGATGGCCGTGTTCTCAAGCTGTTCACTATACCATACTAGACTATACTGTGACTATACCCCATCCCGCCGTGATCTTCGTATTCTCTCGATGCTGCCGATGCCATCTTCGTCGTCCCCACCCAGCTTGTACCGGGCCGCAGCTGCAGAAGGTCCACAGTCGGATGGCGGCCTTCTATGGTCACCATGCCGGGGAGCCCACGGAGAAGAGCCACAGGGCCGCTGTGAAGGAAAGACACATTGGGAATGCTTTAGCCAAAATGGGAGCCTCGCACGAGTCTAGAGTTATGTGCTTTTTCCGTACATTCTTTGCGATGACATGGTGTGGGGAACCTCCCCACTGCCCGATGCATGCACTATTCAACCATATTCAACCCCTCAAGTGTAAGATATATCCGCATTTTCCCAGTCATGCGATATGGCAGAAGTCATTGAACTGTGACATATCGTGACAACAGGGCAGGACCGAACTCAAGACGTCAGGTCGAAGTATGGTAACCAGCCGAACCAGCCTAATTGGGCTAATGAGCAAGTCCACTACTTGGGAGTCGAATAAATTGCAATTCTGCATAAATTGCAATTCTGCATTTAACACATCAATACCAGTTCCTGATGATCATGAGGTCAGTGACCCACTTATCTTAGGTGCTGAACCCTTCCATCCTTCTTCGACCCCGCGCAACTCCGGCTCGGACCCGCGCAGGTGAGGCCACACGTCATTGTCGCTCGTGGTCCGGAGGTGACTGGGGGGGGCGATGTACCAGGGACCAGGAGCTGTGGGTGCTGGGATCTGAATCCAGTAGTCATCCTGGAGCAGAGAACGTCCGAATATGGCGAAATCCGAAAGTGGAACGATCATGTCTTTTGACTGGTTCATAGGATGGTTATAAACTGTTAGAGAGACAAGGAATCCTTTCAGTAAAGGCCACCGGGGTGCAATCGAAACTTGTGTGCCACGGACGAAACCGGGATCTTTCGGGCTGAACATGCTGTCTCACTTTAGCGACCCAAAGCACAATGCCATGATGGAGGTGTTCGGTGGAATTGAGCCCAAATCGTCTCCGGAATGGTTCCACATCTCCAGCCATCAGGGGTTTGATTCATCAGTCTTCCCTGGGCCTTCCAGCCATTCCAGCCGCTGGGACCAGTGCAGCGCAGCAATTTGGAAGGCCGCTTTTGGGGACCCCATGGGCGTTGCATGGACCAAAGCCAGAACAGAGCGTTTGACGAGTCAGTTCATGCAGACCGCAGCAAGTAGAGGACACTGGAGACGTTGTTCGACGTTCTAACTGCGTGGATAAAGCCTGGAACCCCCCTGCAGGCAGTTTTAGCTTCTAAACAGACTATAGTCCTACAAGATGCTCCGTCCTATTCCTTCGGGGTCTGAGTCATGTCACCCTCACACCCAAGAATCAACAAGAATCATCACATCCAGGGCCTCAAGCCGCAGAGCTATGTGGTGAGGCCGGGTAAACCGCCCAGTCTCGGGCGGTTTGCCAAGCGGAACTCCTCGAATCTACGCGTTTACCACGCGCTTCGGGCGAACGCTCACATCTATGAGGGGTCTGTAGAGCCTGTAGAGAGATAGAAACTGGATGGCTTGAATCAGCATCCAGAGATTGGTTGGTCGTCATGGAAGGCCCTTGGGTGGCTGGGAGTCATGCCACAACGCGGCCTGGGAGTCTCAGTGAACGGCCTGTGAGCCTGGGAGTGTGAACGACATTCTGTATCAAGCTGGGGTCGGACTACCAGTGTTTTCGGGCCGATTTCCCGGCACAGTCCAAGGGCATCCGTTCTCCTGACATTTGTTCTCTGGGGATCTAAATTATTCGGCAATTATATTTCAATATATTATATATCATATGTTACATTGAGTCCATTTGAGTCAGTCACACTCCCTGAAATCATCCTGCAAGTGTAAAACCATGTCATGTTTGGTATTCGGAATTCAATGGAATTCATAGTCATCCGAACTCGGAGGCATGCCTTCTCCACTTCCACCACTATAACATTCCGTACATTGACCCGGCGCGACCGGAACCGCCTTCGGACGTCACGCAGGCGCTGAGACGGAACGTCGGCGCTCACTGAGATGCTTTCTGCGTTGCGTCCAGCTTTCTGCACGGTATAATTGGGGCGACGGAGCCCCGTGTAGAGACCATATGCTGAGCGGACGGAGAGGAGCTGGGCTCCGAGAGTATTCAGAGAGTGATGATCACTGAGGGGAAGTGGTAGGTGAGAGCCCTCGTGGCCAAAAAGACCTTTGACATCCTTTGACATCCTCAAATGGGGTGTTGGCTTGAGCAAGCAAGACGGGGTCCAGCTCCATCTCTTTGCGCATTTGCAGCATGTGGAAGCATAGGCCAATCCCATTAGAACAATTCGTGCCCATACGGCACGGCACCGGCGCCGGCCAATCGCTTGCAACGCGCCGTGGGTCCACTTGCGTCAATCCTGAGAAAAGAAGGGAGACGACGGGAAGGAATAGATCCACAAATGGTTGTGTTTTGGAACCTTCTCATATCTTCTCATATCTTCTCATATAATCATAGGAGATCAAAATGCCTTCCCAACAGAGGAGCTGCGGAGCCTGTGGTGGTCAAAGCCAGGAGTACATCAAACCATGATGGTTGATTTTTTGGGAAGGGGAGAGAGGAGGAAGTGTTTGGATGTGTCGATGTCCATGAAGGTTCGATGTGATTGGCAACGTTCGGGTCGTCAAGTCTTTAGGGTTTCATTTGCATGTCTCCATTGACAATTGCTGTTCGGACGGCCGATTTTGTGACCTTCGCATGATGTAGCTTGATGTCACCTGACGAATGACAGAGCATCCAGAGTGGCTTGAAGGTTCTCGGGCCAAATGCAGGGTCAGGCATTAACAAACGCGGCTTTCAATACTGTTTGTACTTTTGAAGCTGAAAGCAGCTCCTTCCGTTTCAGACACAGGAGAGGCGTGCGGAGGTGTCCTCAGGGATCCAGTCCCTCACTCAGATACATCAAGTGCATCCTGCATGATGACGTCATCTTAAGAGGATCTAAGAGTTTACTTGAAACTTGAACATCGGATTGATCGTTTGGACTCAAATTGAGTCCCAATCCACCCACCATCGAAGCACCTCAACTCGAAAAAAGAAAAGTCCACAAGTCCACACACACACAGAGGGCCCGTTTGCCTGGATGGATGTGCCTGACCAACGTATCATTGATCGACTCGCCTGCTACCGCAACGACAAGCGGGACAAGGAGCAGGCGGAGCTCACACCACGCGACGAATGGAGCGGTTGGAGCGTTTTTTGTAGACACCAACGGTTTGCAGCTGCCTGCAGTTTGTTTGATTGTTTTGGTCGCTAATGTGACATGTTACTTCAATATTCCGGGTTGGAGCCCCTTGAAGTATGTTATCAGAGTCGAAATTGGCGTCAGGGTTGGGCGGACCACCCACCCTGCCACCTCTCAGCCTTTCTGACAAACTGGGCGGCTGAGGTCCTCAGCATCATCAAGAATAACGGCTGGGCCATCCGCTATGCTCCACCGCTCTTCCGGAACTCCGAGGAGGTGGGGAGGGTCGGAAGGTCAGAACCGACTCCGATCCGCGCATTCGATCGGATCGGATGGGTTCGATGGTTGAAGATCCCAATGGTTCTGCATTCGGATCCTTTCAGTCAGGGCCCACGGCTTCTCCTTTAATTATCCCCCAAGTCCCCAAGTCTAATATAATGATATATAATGTATTGGTAGTGTAGGTGATGTACATGTTAGTAGTTTGAGGTTATACTGACCCCGCATGGGGGCATGAGTGGTGGTCAAGAGGGATGTGGAACTAGGCCGAAATGATCATGCATGATCCAATCCTGCTGAGCGAACTATCAGATAATGAAAACGTGTTGTCAATATTTGTCCAATTAGTGCCTATTGGTTCTCAATACCACATCAGCCCAAGACTCCAAGACGGTACGCTTTGCCAGCATAGACAAGTGACGATGTGCACATTGATAAAAACCCAGGTACTGTTTGGAAGAGTGTTTGCTGGGTCTTGACTGGCAGAGAAGAGGTTTGTATTGATTAGCAAAATACCATCGAATGGCGATGCAATGACATGTGTATGACTTGTTTTGGTCAACAGGTACGTAGGAGGGCCCTCTCGCCTTTCCTTTGTTCTCCAACCTGCTGCCCTAACATGCCCCTACAATCCTGCAACGACCACACCCCTGGTAAACATGGAAAACGATATGAAAACACAATCACCCCAGAAGAGGAACACCCTATGCTGCGCAACATGGTCAATCAATTCATTTCAGTAAAGTTTGTTGGTTTCAATGGATTGCCACACCGAGGTCTGTGTGGCGGCCATGAAGACCTATGGTTTGGGATTGGAGTTCCTGTCGCCCCTCATGCGGCGCAACGAGAAGGTGGTGAAGGTCCTGGGAAAAATAAGTGAGAGACACACACCGAGCATCACCGTGCTGGGTGGTGGTTTCAGATGTATGTTCATTTATGTTCAAGCTTTGCTTGAGATGATTGATCCCAGACTCATATTTGCCGGTACCTGCCCGAGTGACACGGGCAGGGCGAGTGGGGAGGAGTACCAAATCGTCCGGTGAGTGCGAAAGCGGATGGAACCCAAGTTCAGCCGGTAAACTTGTTGCACTTCAACCAGCCGAATCCAAATCACACAAATACTATTACAACCGGTCTCAGCAACTCTGTAAATACTTGGTTTGTAAAGGCCACTCGCTGCGCCATGAAACTGCTCTCAAAATTATCAAAGGTCTTTGAGTCCTGCCAGGCAGAGTCTATATCGCAGTTGCAGTCGCATCCATCGAGTTTGTTCCTTCAAGTCGTTGCACACTGCAACGTTTTGAGTCACCGAGTCGCCACGCCACGCCACTTTGGGGGTTCAGTTCTTCGCATCCCACTGCTGTCACCGAAAGATACTGCCGAAAGATACTGTTGTTGTGCAGGGTTGGCCCAAACAATCCCAAACACACTGCTTAGATAAGCTTATAGGCATAGCCTTATGCCGGCCGCGCCAGCCACAGAAACAAGGAGCCAAAATAGATTTATAAAGCAAAAACAAAGCAAAACAAAAAAAGCAAAAGGCAAAGCAAACAACAAAGCAAAAAAATGTAGCTGTGCGTGTTTGTCGCTTTTTTCACTTTATGTTCGCATGTTTTTTGCTTTATTTTCGCATGTTTTTGCTTTATTTTCGCATGTTTTTTTGCTTTTTTCCTTGGAGCGTACAGCAAATATTGCTGACGGGTAAAAGTTCTCATAAGCGCAGAAGTGGTAAAGAGCAAAACAAATGCAACAGCAAAGCAAGTTGCGCTGCTTTTGCATTTTCATGTGCTTTTGTTTTGCTTTGTTTTTCACTTTTTTTTACACAACATAGTTGATGGTTGGCCATCTGTGGCTGCCATTGGGCAACATAAGCATAGCCCCTCTCCCGTCGACACATTGATGCATGTACACGTTAACATTAAGCTTGAAACGCTTACATCTCGTTATGTTACGGGGTTATTTGTGATTCTATTGGTCAAGGAATTGCGAAGCCTTGATCAATTCGCTCCGAGGGGCCAATGCTACTAACAACATGGACAGACTGAACTTGAGATGTTGTTGGATGCATGTTCTGAGATGGCCTCAAGCTTCAGAATGGCCCTAGGATAGGTGGACCGCTCGCTCGGCAGACACCAGGGCGTGTGGACTTTCCTTTGCGCTTCCGCGCCCGGCCGACCGACCACCGCGACCGACCGCGGTCACGCGAGGCGGCGTTGAGCCACTGCGGCATGGCGTTGATCTTCGCTCCCGAAGAGCTTCGCAGTCGACGGGACGTCGTGAAGCACGCGCTGCAGATGCCTGGCACGAGAGTGTGCCCATTACAATGGAGAGCGTTTGGTGTGGCATCGAAATGCACTGAAATTAGGTACAATCATCGTGTTAATATTCATTGGTCATGGTTGGGCCGACATGGAGGGAGAAAAACTAACACAACAAACAAACAAACAATGGAAAGCTATATATGGGGGGGACACAGGTTCCATATGGTTTCTTGGTGGGAAAGCGATATATGATTCCGATATGGTTCCTTGTTTTGTTTGGAGGGGACACTTGCTGCTGGTCCGCCCCACCTCGCCGCTGGGCTCCCAGGAATGCCGGCCTGGCGTTGGAGTTTGCACATCCAGACCTGCAACTCGGACGTCCAAAGGAGGAGGGCCCAGAAGATGAAGAAACTTCCTGCCAAAATGGCCTTAGGTAAGGTCATTTGAGTTTTTTTTTTCAATTTACTTCAGGTTCTTCAATTTAGGCTCGCCTGCGGGTTGGGACCACCATGTCATATCTATAAAATGACTCGCAGGACCCCCCCCTCCAAAATGGACAGGGTGATTTGCCCTATGATTTGGGCCTTTGGAGATATGCCTACTTGGAGAGGAGAAACCGCGCATACTATGCCCTTCAATACCGTTCACTCCACCGAAATAGTTTCAGTCCAGAAAACCTAGGGTGTTTAGTGCGTTTGATCATTTCGAAATTCCCCACTGCTAGGATTCCATATGATCAAGAGGTACCAGTACTTGGACAGTCCGTGCAATCCTGTTTTGAGCGGACAGTAAAGTGCTTCCAAATTCTGAACCTGAACTTCCTGAACCTACCACTCGTGGATCCCGTGAATCCCATAAAGATTTGGAGGGTCCAAACATGTTGAGACACTCCCACTTCTATGTCACTCCTGCCAGGAAGAAGGATCACAGCTTGGTCTACCAAGCTATCCAGCAGGACCCCCGAGCTTTGCAATGTGCGGACGACTCGCTGAAGTGCGATCGGCCACCTGGCAGCCGGGAGAAGATGAGCACGGTGGAGCAAAGCTGGTGACTTGTGATGACCTGTGAATCACATTTCTTTGAACACCTTTTGGTGGTTTGGTAGTCCAACTACTCAACAGGAAGAATGGTCGCGAAGTTGGTCGCGATTCATATGTAGCCCACAGGTGAAAGGCCGCCAAGGTTTTGAAAGCGAGATCAGGCATGGTTTGTATGCTAGACTTACAATGCAAACATATGCAAACACTCAGCGAAACAAAGCTAGGCGCTCAGTGAGTTAAACTCAGCTTGTTAGGTTGAAGCCGAACAATTCCGTAGCCGTGACATGCCGGTTGACCGGGTGAAAAGAAGCTAAATTAATCTAAATTAACAAATCCGAACACTCAGCGAAACAAAGCTAGGCGCTCAGTGAGTTAAACTCAGCTTGTTAGGTTGAAGCCGAACAATTCCGTAGCCGTGACATGCCGGTTGACCGGGTGAAAAGAAGCTAAATTAACAAATCCGAATTGCAACAGTTGTCCGCCGTTGTCCGCAACTCTTTCAAATTTTTTTGTTGAAATATATATAGATGGAGGGAGACATGTGTACCTTTGCAAACCAGTCCCTAGAGTCGCTGCGAGCACTCGCTGCGATCATCCAGCCGTGCACGTGTTCAGATTCGAACGCTAGCAAGTGTTTTTTGTATTGCTGTTCAGTTTCAGGATGTTTGAGGCCCATTCGAGGGCAAAAAAATTGATAGAAGCTCCAAGAAGTGTCAAGAATGTGATATTCCCTCGGGCTCCAACCATATCCTCAGAAGGTGGTTAGAGTTAGACTCCCCTGGCACCCGCCACAACCACTTCAGGAGGTAGGCCAGGAGCTGTAGGGATTGGTTAAATCCAGAACCTTCAGGATTCGCCTTGAGAACCGCTGCTTGAAACCCCTTTCGGACCCCCCCCGACCGATCGCTCGGCCGACGAGTTCATCGGCCGATCGGTCCGTTTCAATGGTCTATGGGTCTCGGTCTCGAAAAGCGGCGTCGTTCTGAGGAAGTTCCTCCTGAAAGCGTTGGGCCATCGCCCACAAGCCTTGGATTTTGTGGACATTTCTGTTCGGCCCTTGGGCCCAGAAGGGGGTTTTGAGGGCGGAGAGCTGTGAGCATCGCCCTTTTGTTGGCGGGTGAGCAAAGGCATGCCAGGATATGCCAGGCTCAGGCACCCTCTCAAAAGTTTCTGGAGTCTTGGGCGGAAGACCAGATCTCATCAGATCTCAATTGCTGACCCTCTGGAGGGTGTTGTGGCAGCATGGTTTGTGGTTTCGCTTGCCTTCATGATAGTGAGATACTTGTAGAGCTGTTTCCAGGTCTCGTGACTAGAAGCGTTCAGCAGAGGTGGACACATTCCATATCACCACCGTGGACAATGGGTTTAGGGTTAGGGTTCTAGGGTTTGGGATGGATTGGGGGTTGCGCGACATTTATGGCACAAGTTGAGAACATGTGAGGCTACTCAGGATCATGATATGACATGATATGACATAGTTTAAAACTTTAAGTGTTTCTTACATTGTTCCATTTCAGACGAAGCCAAGGCCATGAGGAAACATTACCAATTCGCCACCAATCCACCCAGAATTGCGACCCAGATAGCGATCCCTTTGCCGCCGTGACGCAGGTTTGACCCTGAACTGGTGAAGGTGGCTTTGGGCCAAGAGTATCGACCAGAGTCGCCCCCTCCGAAGGAGAGTCTGGCCACTGTCGAGGGAGGTAGAACACTTGGATTGTTGCCGTGGTGCCTATAGTGAGTTTCCAGTTGTTTGTTGTTTGTTGTGTGTGTGTGTGTGTGTGCGCGCTGCAGTTGAGAGAAGGAAGGCAGATGGTTGCTGCTTGTCACCTAATCAATCTTTAGTGGAGAGGTTTTGATGGTTTCTTTGACATGTTAACTTTGGTGCGTGCTTGGTATGAACAGCTATCGTTTCACCCGTGTTTCTTTTTCGTGGAGCTTTTGCTACCGATTGGCCCCACTCACTGGACATTTCTGGTTTGGAAGCCATTGGTGGATTTCGGCTGGGTTGAAGCGCTTCTTGTGCATCCAGAGAGAAAGTCATCAGTTGAGAGCAGGGCGATCATCACTCCATGCAAAGCTGGGATAAGCACTGAGCACGAAAGTTACCCAAGCTGGAGACAAATAGACAAGTGGCTCTACAACAAGCATGGCCTCGCCTACAGATGAGACTATAATATGCTATACTATTATGCTAATTATTTTATACAGCTATTAATTATATTAATATAGAATGTTAGAAAGTCGTTGTCAACTAAGCTATATCAAATTCCTACCACCTCATCACAAGATGTCAATTTTGTTGCTGGTGGTATCGTGTTTTGATTCGCGTTCGCAATGCCAGGAGAGGCCAATCAGCCCATCCAAAACCGCTGCCCCCCCGCAGCCGCCGGTCCCGCCGTGCGCTTTTGCTGGAAGAGCGCCGCCTTCTTCGGCGGAAGTCGCAGTCACTTGGGAGCAGACCATGTGATGTTTTGTCTCCAGTTTGCTCTTTTGAAGGCTACCTTTGCCCTTTGTTCCAGCAAGAACTCTGCATTTGATGTTCCAATTATTGAGTGTCATGGCAAGCAACCGCCGGAAGCAAGCATGATATGATGGCAAGCATGTATGGGTGCCATGTGCGGTTGTGCAGTATTGCAGTATTGCACATGGCATGATGGATGTTCCAAGGTCGCGCTCACCCGAACGGGCTAAGAGCGCTGGTTCGCGCGGTTCGCGTGCGCCAAGTCGAGAGCCGACAGATCCGGTGTCGGGCGGGGAAGTGACCGATGGAGACATGAGTCCATGAGAAAAAGCGTGGGCGATTCGCGGCGTGGGTGTGGAAAAGGTGTAGACATGCATGTGTAGACTGTCTATAGACAACCCATGATCAATACTTTTGTGACTGTAAAATTGTAAACTCATTATCTGGTAAAGTCCTATCTGGTTCGGTAAGTACTGATTCAATACCTTTATTCGTAAAGTCATTATCAAACATGCTTCATCCTTGGCCCTGCCGCGAGGTCGGACATGTTTGGACCGTGTCGGTGTTCCAAACGTCGACCACTTCCGGCCCAAAAGGTGGACCAAAGGAAGATGTCCATACGGGAATGATCTAAGAAATGTCGTATAGGGTCTGTCCATTCTGACCTAAACAGTCAATAAACAAGCAAAACACGGTTTTTGGACCAGGCCTGCAACTGAACCATCATCATCCACTGTTACAGGTAATAGGGTAGACCCTGGTATAAGAGATACAGGAATTACAGATCCCAGAATTGGATTAAGGGAAGAGTTACAGGAACACGATCGTTTTGGGAGGGAAAACCATGGTTTCCCTTAGATTGTCCCTTAAAACCAATTTCATGGATTAGATTCATCACCCCTTGGGAATCTTGAGTCCTTCGAGTCTTTGAAGGGCTGTAAGTGGTGCGGCGCTACATAGATTGTTTGATGGGTCAGTCGCAATATGGCCATGCGGCGCCATATGTCGCTGTCCGTACGTAAGGAAGACCTTCGCCTACTGGCAGTTGAACATCCGTACTGTAGTATTGTTGTCGATCCTGATTGAGGACTCTGTTTGTACGAGGTTGCTTCAGGATCCTGAGCATTGTCGGGCACCCGAACAGCAGGCGGTCTTAGTGGCGGTCTTTTAGGGCACGTGATGCTTAACAAATCACCTGAGGAACTTGCTGGAACCTAAGTGAAATGGATTGCAACCTAGCTTGGTGGGGACATATGTGCATTGTAGTGTGCATGGCATATTTTGCTAATCGGTGTGCAGTCTTTGACCGCATCATACTGATACAGGCATGCAAGGTTCTTTTCCCCTTCATGCTGCTTTGCTGCCCTGGGTACTTTTTACATTGGCTCGTCGAGCAGATTGGTTTTGACACATGACTCATCATGACTCCCAGCTGAAGCCATATGGAGATATGATCAACACATCCACCATTGTTATTATTCTATCCTTGCCTTCGCCACCACTGGCAAGACTCCCCACTGCGCAGCAACTTTCGCAGCCTTCTGCAGCACCTGCACATGCCAATATGCAGCCACCACCACCCGAGACCCCCACTGCAATCATGGCCTCACCATGCCTCATCAGCCTCACCACATCAACCACCCACTCAACCCTGACCCACCATGTATTGCCCAGGCAACCCGAAACGACATGCACTTTGCACCGGACTCGTGCGCAACACCGCGAGACTCACCGCGGACCGTGCGTCACTCATTTGGGCGGGTGGAGCCATGACGGAGACGAAGTTACAGCGCGAGACGCGCTTGACTGGCTCAGCCGAGCTGGTGTCCCTTGGAACGTAAGTGATGGGGAGATGAGGTCGGGAGGTGAGGTCGATTCAGTCTCTCTTCGGGAGTGGGAGGCCACGGGCTTTTGGAAGGTGAACAGCTTTTTG